ACGATAACTTATATTTCCCAAAATTATTATTTACAAATACAGCAATATTGGCGGGACTAACAGGTTTTCCTTAAGTCGCTTCTCTCTGTAATTTTTCAAAATGTTAGATAAATTAAATCTCTGTCGTAATGCTGGATATTTTGGAAAACTTTGGGTGAATCTGGTGCGTATTATGGTGTCAATCAACTGGCACCTAGAGCCAAATCATGCAAGGAATTCATAATTGAGGGATTCATGCTTCGGAACTAGTATTTTCCCTCCCTTAGTGTTATGTATGGTTAACTGGAACTAGCAGAAACAAAAGTAAGTGTGAGGGATTCATGCTTCGGAATCAAAATGCATGTTGACATGTCTCGTATGAATATATCACATAAGATCCTTTTGTTATATAACATGATTTATGACCAGTTTAGTATATGATCCTGTGAATCCCGTTTTTACTAAAATAACAAACTTTTGTTGTACTTTCTAGAGCTAAATTTGCTGCCTGTAAATCAGCAAAATACATACTCCCGTATGTATGATTATAAAACTTATTGCCTTTTCCTTTGCTCTTTAGGCTATTGTGAGTTAGATTAAAATCATTGATGTAATGAAGAAGGCAATACACTGGTTATGCTAGTTGATGACATAATCAGAAATAAGCTTTTCTTATAAATGATCAATCCACCAAGAACTGCAGCATATAGTTGGCTTTTCTCAAGCATAGTTACTCAGAGGTCTGACCACGGGGCAGACCAGTTCAATGAAGCAATTGTACTGTTTGATATTTTTCTTTATCACTGTCACACCGAGAGAGACTAGGTTCCATGGATAGAGTTTTTCTTCGGTAATAGAATTTGTTCCTAGATTTCTGATGTATTGACTTGAATGATAAAAATTGAGCGTACTTTCTCAAAGGAATTAACCTTATTTCCTGATTAAAACTATATGACATCATAACTTAATTAGTTACCTGTCGAATGATATGGAGGTTGAGCTCAAACATAGTTTTCAGAAGCCCATTTTAGTTGGTTAATTCCATAACAACAGCGTCTCAGGTTTATCTGACTATAGTTTTTTTTCCCTTTCTATTCTTTTCTTTTTCTTTTTCTTTTCTTTGGGTAGGGGAGGGGAATAGCATTGCACTGTTGCAGTGCTATCAGGAAGGGATGATTAAAAGGCTGGTTGTGCTATGATTTGCATTACAGGTTTGCTTAACAGTGAAGCTAAAATCAAAGATGAAACCTTTGAGCTGCGATGCATCAAAGGAGTTCTTACGTCTTCAGATGGTCAGATGTCACAGAGAGCTCAAAATAGATAAACCACTCTGCAACTTTACGTCTCAAAGGTGGCGAAAAGCTTTGCATCTCTATTGTGAGTTTGGAACGAAAGGAATGGTTCTTGAGGCTCGCCGACGTGGTGGTCGCTGCATTAAAGGAAGTAGCCTGAGAGAGAGTGTCATATTCCTTTGGAATGATTTGCTACGTGCACCTTCACTTGCTTTGTCAAAAGAAATTGACCAAACAGTCAGGGTAGCTACCTCAATAACTCCTCCTGTCCAAGCATCCTACTTGTTGAAATGTGTGCCCGATCGCGTTTCAGATGATTCAGGTGCCATGATATCTGATGTTATTCTGAAAATGAATCATTATCGTCCCCAAGAAGGTCGATGGTTATCTCGCACTGTTCTGGATCATGCAGGCAGGGAATGCTTTGTGATTCGACTTAGGTAGAGAACACGAGGACACATTTATTTTGACTAAGTGATCGTATGCATCCTTGTGTTTAATTTTCTGATCTCGTGTTTTGTTTGTCAATAAGCTAGAGTTGGAGGTGGCTTTTGGAGGAGAGGAGCTGAAACTCCGTCAGCTGTAAAATGGGAGGACCGCATTATAGAAATACGTGAAGGTCATTGGTCGTATGTTGCTGGTTCCATAGGTAGAGCGCCTGGTATGTAATATTTCCTCTGTCCCCCTATGTGCCTGTATCTGTTCTTCTGGTCCAACCTTCATTTCAACGATCAAGAAAAGAAAATTAAAAAGATTTACATTTGATCTGTTAGTAACCAACTCATAGGAGAGCATGTTGGTTTTCAGTGGATGCTTCCCATTCTAGATTTCCTGCCTAATTTGTGGTGTCATTTGCTTGTGTTTCTCATCTAGTACAGAGAAAGTGGTAGGTACTGCAAAACCAAAAGATCCACCAGAAGGATGGCATTCTCTGTGGTACCTTTCAACTGGAGATGAGCTACTAGTACGCTCGGAATCCTCAACATCCAGTTCAGGCTTAAGTTTCAGCCTCATAAACCAGCAATCAACTGATTCAGTGGTACAGTATATTTAAACTTTGATTTGATTGCAGCAACAACTTGCTAAAGAGTATTGATCATCTTAAGAACACAATCCCTGCAGGTAAAGTTATTGGAAGGGCGGCAAATGCAGTATGAAGTCAATAAATCTGGCTCGACTGAAGAGACAGAAAATGTGCCAAAAGAAAAGCTAAAGCAAGTTGAAGACAAAGATGAAGACGGATTCATAACGGTGGTTAGGTTCTCAGAGGATAATCCGGTTGGAAAAGCTACAGCACTGCTTAACTGGAAATTATTGGTGGTGGAGTTTTTACCTGAAGAAGATGCTGTATTCATACTTCTTCTTTGCATGTCAATTGTCAGAAGCATATCAGAAATGAAGAAGCAAGATGTAGGAAGCCTGTTGGTTAGAAGAAGAATAAAAGAAGCAAAAATTGGTGATAGAGATTGGGGTTCAGTGATTCTCCACCCATCTTCATATTCTCCGTCGATCTGCTCACCTTACCTTCAGCCTTGGTATTGGAACGCAAAAGCAGTGATGGGATCACAAGATAATATCCCAAGACTACCAGCTCCAGCATTGACTTATACGCAGGCTGAAGGTGGAGACAGGTTGTACAAACATGGCATAATCGATTAGAACGAATCGCCATTTTCCAATAACATGGAGCTGAAAAAGATTTTCAAGCACAGGTTCTGAAACAGCTATTTATATATATGTATTCCATCCAAATGTCATTTTGTCACCTCTTATAAACATATTTCACCTGCTCATCATAGCAGAGTTACTAATTTAATGGATAACAAGCATCATCACATCTCTGGTATACCAGTGATTTCAGGAGTCTTAGTTGGGTATATGCACATTAGGCAGGTCACCTTAAGATCTTGATGGTGGAAGTCACACTTGTACAGAAGACGCGGTCTTGGATATAATACAAGATTGGTTGGTCGGCCAAAACTAATTGCAATTCGCTAGCCAAAAAGTATAAAATATATCCGATATTTATATTATACGCTTATATTTATTTTGGGAGCGGGTACAGATATACATTTTTCAGTGAATTTTATTAGGTGCTTTTTATAGGGTTCTGTAACAGCTCAGCCCATTAGTGATATTGTTCGCTTTGGGCCCCTTAGGGCAGCGAGGTTTGCTCCACCACCGTTCAAGATTGCACGCGGAGTGGCTTTGATACCATATGTAACAGCCCAACCCACTAGTAGTATTGTCCGCTTTGGGCCTAGGCCCATACGACTTTAAAACGCATCACTAGGATCAAATGTCTGTTTACTTATATACCTAGCATATCTCCCGTGTTTTATAGATGTGGGATTCGCCAAGGGTGTCACAGATTCTGGGGGAAGACCGAGCCCCCTTCTATGTGGATGTTTCTTTAATCTCTATATCAATGTTTGGTCCTATCAATTTACGAATATTCAAGTCTTTAATCCACTGGTAATTATATTACATCAACCTGTAAAAACTCACTGATTCGGTGACAATTAGAAGTTGTGTTAAGATTTTTATGTACAGTAATGAAAGTATTCTTAAAATAGTTTTCATAAACTATAACATAAAAATTATCACTCTAAATGTCAACTATATGTCATGTAACATAAGATCTCCCACTTGTGTCAGATTGAGACTTTGGTTAGTTGATATAACATGGTCCGGTAAAGAAAACATTTCAAATTTGTTTCAATTAGTCACACCTGCTATCAACTGCTAAATTACTTATATGGGTCAAAATCTGTCCCTAGCTCACAATATTATTAACCCTCGCTAACAGTACAACCGGCCAAACCCTCCGACAATAGGTATAACTCACAATATTACTAACAGTGCAGGTGACAACGCCCTCGCTACCGTTCTAAAGAGGATGGAAGAAATGGAGAATGAAAATAAAGCACTCATAGATCAAATGAAAGAACACCAAGAACGAGTCAGCAAGATATCGGGCGCTCCTAAGTTGTTGCCAAAAAGGGACGCCGGCAGGTTCGTAGAGCAGTCGTACAACGACGAAGCAGCCCCGCATGTCATACCAAAGTCTTTCAAAATGCCACCTTACCTCAGGATATACGACGGAACGAACGATCTCGAAGATCATGTGACTCATTACGTCACCGTTGTGAAAGACAACGACCTCGCCAAGGAACAAGTGTCCTCTATTTTGCTGAAGAAGTTTGATGAAACCCTTACGGGAGGGGCATTAACATGGTACTCACAGTTACCAGCCTGTTCCATAGAAACTTTCGAGGAAATGGCCGACAAGTTCGTAACCGCACATGCAGGAGCCAAGAAGGCCGAAGCGAGAGTAAACGACATATTCGCTGTCAAGCAATCCTTGAGAGAGGGACTGAGGAACTTCCTCGCCCGGTTCAACAGGGTAAAGGTGACTCTACCGAACGTGTCTGAGGGGATGGCGGTCTCAGCTTTCCAAAACGGGTTGAGTAGGGATGGTTCAAGAGCAACTAGAAAATTGCTGAGTCGATTGATGAAATATCCTCCAACCACTTGGGACGAGATCCATAATGCCTATTATGCCGAAGTTTGAGCGAATGAGGACGACCTCAACGGACCAACTCATCGGCTCATCTCGGTACAAGCCGAGTTCAGGAAAGAATGAAGAGATAATGTAAGAAGGGATCATCCGGTCTCGAAATCCAACAGGGAACGACACCAGCCATACGTCAGGGTGCCCACCACACCTTCCCTCCGCTTTGAAGAAGTCCCATCTAGGCCGAGGACTGAGACTCACCGAAATGAGAGAGGTATGCCCCCTTATTATCTGCTCACAATTTTTGTGTGTCACCTATATAAATAGTCTATGCCCTTGAGAAGCTCAGAACAAACCATGAACGTGGGAACAAAATATAAGATTGCATCTCACTCAGGCTAGAAGTTGTAAACATGTTGCGGCAGAGACACCTCAGAGAATTGCTAAGCGACAAAAGGAGAAATAACTTCGTCAGAGGACGTGAACACCAAGGCCCGCCGAAGCCGCCATCACCATCTCGTACTATCAACATGATCATTGGCGGCGACAACACCTCTATCAATGGTGTGAAGTTCACCACCACTCACAAGCTCAAACGGTCTATCACCCACGAACGGTACGACGGACTCGAAGAAAGTATCATCTTCGATGAGTCATATGCCGACAATTTGACTTTCTCTCATAATGACGCCCTCGTCATTACTTTACACATTTTAGATACAGATGCCAAACACATCATGGTGGACGATGAAAGTGGAGCGCATTATCCATCCTCGAGTCCTCACCCAAATGAAACTTGAGGACAAGATATTGCCACACTGCATCACGCTAACCAGTTTTAATAATGCAGTTGAGTGGACATCAGGGGAAATTACGCTCCCCGTCTTGGCCGTCGACATAACTCTGGAGACGATATTCCACATCATGGACAGGGCCACCGCATACAATGATATAGTGGACGACCATGGATACATCCTATGAGAGCCATCCCCTCTAGCCTATACTAAGTAATTAAATTTCCAACACCATGGTGAATATTCAGCATACACGGAGAACAACATACGTCCTGGGAATGCTACCGCATCGCCTTAGACAGCACGGCAATCCGACAGAAAAAGACAAGGAAAAAGAAGCATAACAATCAATAGGACCGAGGTCGACGCAAGAAGAGACCAGGGACGTCATCGTGGATCCCGAAATGGTCGAGGCTGCAGATTCGGCCATAGAAGACCTCGACCCCATTCAATTGGAATTCAATGACCATAGCAAAAAGGCCTACATCGGCTGCAAACTCCGGGAACCAGGTAAATTCAGTCAATTCTTAATAACTAATGCAAACTTGTTTGCCTTCAGCCATGCAAATATGCCGGGCATCCCCAGGGAAATCGCCACATACAAATTAAACGTCGGCTTGTTCTACCCCCAATAAGGTAGTTCAGGTGTAAATTCAACCCCACCATCAATGAGGCAGTCCGCGAGGAGGTAGAGAAACTGTTAGAAAATGGCTCCATTAGGGAGTCGAAGTACCCCAAGTGGATCGCCAACGTAGTGATGGTCAAAAAGAAAAATGGGAAATGACGGATGTGCGTGGATTTCACAGACTTGAACAAAGCATGTCCGAAGGATTCGCTCCCATTACCCCACATCGATCAGCTCATCGACGCAATGGCCGGGCACGAGCTATTGAGTTTCTTGGATGCATACTCGGGCTATAACCAATACTTATGGAGGAAGAAAGTGAGGAAAAGACCACGTTCATAACCCACCAAGGAACATATTGTTATAGGGTCATGCCGTTTGGGCTGAAGAACGCGGGGGCTACATATCAAAGATTGGTCACAAAGATGTTTCAAGGACCATCTCGACAAGACCATGGAAGTATACATAGATGACATGTTAGTCAAGTTCGTAAAGGCAAAGGATCATATTGATCATTTAAAGGAAGCTTTCGACATACTAAGGCGGTACGCAATGAAACTAAATCCAGATAAATGCGCATTTGCTATAGCCTTTGGAAAGTTCCTGGTTTTTTTGGTGTCACAGTGAGGGATCGAGGTCAACCCAGACCAGATCAAAGCTATTGAGGGGATACCGAAAATCTTGACTACCAAGAAGCAAGTCCAGAGGTTGACCAGTTGAGTCCCCGCCCTATTGAGATTCATCTCGCGGTCGTTTGATAGATGTCATAAATTGTTTGACGCACTAAAAAAGGACAACGGTCTCGAATGGACTCCCGAGTGCATCCAAGCTCTACGGGAACTGAAGGCATACCTATCATCACCACCCCCGCTCACAAAACCCGAACCTGGGGAACACCTATTCGTCTATCTAGCCGTCTCCAAAGTAGCGGTAAGTGCAGTCCTGATACGCAAGAACAAAGGTACGCAATCTCCCATCTATTACATTAGGAAAACACTCATCGACGCCGAGACAAGGTACCCGCACCTCGAAAAATTAGCTCTGGCATTGGTTGTAGCTTCGCGAAAGCTTAGACCCTATTTCCAGTGCCACCCTATCTCGGTCGTTACATCCTTTCCCTTGAGGAGAATTTTGCACAAACCTGAGCTATCGGGGAGGCTGGCCAAATGGGCCATCGAACTAAGCGAGCACGATATCATATACAGTCGCGAACGGCGATAAAGTCGTCGGTGCTCACCGACTTCGTCGCAGACTTCAGTGCAAAGATAATGCCGGAAGTCAAAAAAAAAGTCGTTGAAGCTTCCCTCCAAACACAGGACCTTTGGGTCTTGTACACCGAGGGAGCATCCAACGCATCGGGATCCGAGCTGGGACTCGTACTCGAGGTCCCTACGGGCGAAGTTCTTCGTCAGTCCATAAGGTGACCAGAAATGACTAATAACGAGGCCGAGTATGAGGTCGTAATTACAGGGTTAAGGCTAGCACTCAAGTATGGGGCGAAACGATTGAGACTCCGCTGTGATTCCCAACTCGCAGTCAACCAAGTCACATGGACTTTCCAAATCAAGGAACAAAGTTTGCAAAAGCATCAGACCGAGATCTGCAAGCTACTGCCTGAGTTCAACGAATGCCAGCTCGACCAGATCCCACGTGCACAGAATGCCGAAGCGGACGACCTCGCCAAACTGGCCGCAACTACCAAAAGCATCACGACCGGGGATAAAAGTGTAGTCCACCTCCTCAAATCATCACTAGAACAAATCGAGGTAAGAACTGTGAGCTTAACTTAGGATTGGCACAATCGTATTATCGCCTACTTGCACGACGGCGCACTCCCAAATAACAAAAAAGAAGCTAAGAAACTAAGAATGCAAGCGGCCAGATACAGTCTCCTCCATA